TTTGTGGAAATTAGAGATTTGGATGAATCTTGGCAGATTATTTCCCTGCAAATGTGGGTTTTTCCTGATATTTTAACTTTTTTATACAATATATATATATATTACTTTTTTTAACAATAATACATACTAAATCTGACCGTTTTGGCACTTTGGTTGTTTTTTTGTACTTTTCTAATTCAGGATGAGGTTGTTAGAGAGAGAGAGATGGCTCCTTTAATGAAGGAGAACAGCAGAAAGATCAATACAATAAACCGTTTTGAAACCAATAACATTTTCAGTCAGTTGACAGTTTATAGCTCACAAATTTAACTTCAAATAAATAATAATCATCAAAGAAAATGGTGATTTCTGGTGATTTACACAATGCTTTTAAATGCAAAGATAAATGCTTAAAATAATAGCAACCATAAAGTTGAAATAGCACTAGACAAATGGACTAATGAGTCAAGACAATAATACTGTGATAACAGAGCAACTAACCTAAAAAGAAAAGAACAAAGTGATGAAGATGAAGTGATGTAGTCTGTAGTAATTTCAACTGGGAGGTCTTTACTCAGCCGACCAATGAGCGCACGGCTCTGTGTTGGAAGCGGAACCTGATTGGCTCAAAGCAGTAAATGCTTGTCATATAGGCCGCTGATTGGTCGGACGGCTTGCCCGAACGTTCGAGACCCGCCCGTTTTCTCTTCTCAGTGAGGACGACGTTTTCCATCCAGACTAGAGGAGAAAAAACAGCGGAAAGAGAACAACCACCGGACGGAGGTTCGGCTGGGAAAAAGGGAGAGCTCCGCTGCTTCTGTGGGATTAAAACACATATTTGAGGAGGAGATAACAGCGGTATTCGCCGGGGCTTCTTTTACGGTACGTTCTCCTCTGCTTTTGTTGTAATAGTGGCTGATAGTTTGACTGAGTCCACTGCTCTGAGACACTGGTGTCAAATAACACCAAAATCATCTTGCTCTTCTTTCTTTCTTCACATGTACATCGGTGTTTTTGTGTTAATGAGCCAATAAAGGCCCTGCCGTGTAGTGTGAAGGGGTAGTTAGGTTTGTCTCCTGTATCAGAGACATTGTTGCTTCAGTGTAAAGAAGAAGCACTTCTGGCC